CCCTAAATTATTACACATCCACAACAGCATTACTACTGTGGGAAAACTATGTACTCAAATGTTTGGGGAGACCAGCACTGAAACAGCCTGTGTGAATTTAATTTCAGCTGCCTGTGTTACTTGTCTTGCATAGTTTCAAGCCACTTGGAACTAGCTGATAATCTAGTTTTGCCTCTTGCATAATCCAAGACATAGATTTCCCTCTGGTAAGGGACTGAACATACTGCTCAAGAACTTGTGTTTTTAATAACCATACAGTGAGTACTTGGTTTATACACACATTTCAGAAAGGCACCCAGTCTTCCTCTGATGGCCTCAAGGAGATGCAGAATTTACCACTTGTTACATTATATCCCCAAATGCATAAACTCAGTCTTAAGTTCTCCATGGGGACACTGTCTTCTTATTCAGTACACAGGATAGAATCACTTAGCTAGCAGCCATTCAAGATTTTATTTTCACCCTTTTTATTTGATGTATAGTCCTAAAAGCCTTGTTTACTGCACATTATTCCAGCTCTGTTCTGAAGGCAAAATGATTAATTTCTTTACAGGCTTTTCTATAGTGCTCATCAGATGCTTCTAACTTGTTACAGGCAATTTCCTAGCTTTTGGAAAAGCATACAAAGGAATGCCATTATGTGGCAGCCTATAACTACTGCCATATTCATATCAGCAGGGATAGACCAGACCTTTGCTATCGTAGTCAACAGGTGTAAACCACAGGTTGCCAGCATGGCCAAGCTAAAGGAGATGAGACACATGCTTAAGCAAGTGATTTTCACTGATATTTGGGATGGGAAGATTCAGAATTTTAAGGAGATTGAAGGTTATGGAGTGGAAGTACTCTTACAGGTTCACGTTCCTTTGTCCCTCTCATAAAACCAACCTCTTTTAATTCATCCTTTCCAACATGCCCACTCCTCAACCCATGTGTCTCTGCCTGGCTCCTTAACCCAGTCTCATCCTTCTTATATATCCAGTGCTACCTAGCTTATTTTATTTTCTATCGATCCTTATTTGTCTCATTTTGTTAGTATCTTTCCTCTTCCTTACTTGTTTATGGACTGAGTCTCTGCCCCCAAATTCCCCATCTCATTGTCTTTTTCACCTCTTCTAAATTTTATATCCATCCCTTGACTAAGAGATGATGGAGCTTACTGGGATTTCAGGGGAATGAGCACTCACACTCCTTAGAGGTTTCAGAAATACGTATCTACTAAGCACATATAAAATGTGGTTTTTAAAGGCTGTAAGTTGGATAACCTAGGAGCGATTTTCTTAGGAATGGCAAAAAGTATGTTAATATGTTACAAAGACTACCCATTCCTGACAAAGCCTGTAGACACTAAAGCACAGTAAAGAAGACATCACAGAAGCCTTTAAGGTCTCTTCTTCAGCCTCATTTTCAGAAACAGTGAAGCCATGCTGGGTGACATTTTCCCAAGTAAACTGGGCCAGAGCAGATGTGCATCTCAGAAATTTTTATTCCAAATGACTGTACTTTCAGAAAATTGCAAGCAACTGAAATGGGAAGACACAGTATGTGGTTCTGCCCATAAAATAAGACAAAATGAAAACTGTTAGTATCATGTTGGCATTTAACATGGTGGGTGCTATCAGTGACTTCCCTGAAATCATGACACTAACTGAGCAAAATGTCATTCTATCTTGCCAGGTTTTTACGGACGGATTTTTTGTAAAGGCTGGATCACAGCAACAAAGTAATATTATTGCCCCATATAAGCCCAATATGTGCACAGCTCTTTTGTAACCTTCTCCTGACATGCACCAGCTATTAATTTGCTGGTTTTGCACTGAACATTCATTATTACCGAATACCTCATCTCTTGCTTGTAGGTTCTACTATTTTCTCTCAATTATAACTTCACTTTATGTTTGTCCCTTTGTGCCCTTCAGTTTTGGACTTGCCTGCAAACCTCATCAGGACCAAATTTATGCCAGGAAATTCAAATCTGCTAGCAAAGACCTAAAGCGGTCACACGGATATAGAATTCCTGTAAAAATTAAACTAGTCAAGAAAGACTTCCAAAATCCAAGAGAGACCTAGTGAGGGCTGCAGTTAACAAGACACATCATTGATGAAATATGATTAACTGTTCTGATTTCATAAGAGAAGTAGGTTTTGGTCTTCCACAAAGCTCCCTGAATTATTATTAATATTATTAAGCTCTAGGCCCTGTGTCTGCAAATAAGTTTGCTTGGGGATGGCGCAACAGGAAAAATACTTGCTGGGTAGGCGTTACGAAAAAACCCCACAAATGTGGAGTCACTGCCCTTACGCAAGGTTGGAGCTAAGCCACAGCTTAAGACCATAACAGATTGATTTTATCGTAAACTTGTTTATCTTGAGTAGACACAAGGCTCCGGCCCAAGGTTACAAACCCTGTATATATCTATATTCTATAGTTATTCAGTTCAGATCTTTCAAACATCAGTGTACTGCTTATTTAAAATACATAACAGTTAATAGAAAAAAGCAGCAAAGACAAAGCAGTGAACTGACTTCTGAAACTATCACCTTCTGTCACTTAAAATATTTACTTTTGACACAACTCCTAATTAAAAACATTCAATCCGGTCTTAAAATAGAGGTTCAAGCTACCCAATTTATTCTTGGAACAGTCACTTGTTCTCAGGATTAGGAAGACAATGGCATCCAGAGCAAGAATGAGCCCTCTCCCCTCTTACTACAGTTAATCAGGAACATAAATACTATAATGGAGCTGAGCCCCTGCAAACTCACCAGGCTGTGCATAATTTCCACTCCAGCTGGATTGACTGTGAGCGCTTCGTCATACAATTGCCTAGCCTCCTCCAAATTGCCTTTCATCTCTGCAAGCCTCCCACGTATGTACAGTACAGCATGAGATGTGGGGAAAAGACTAGCTGCCTCCTGGATACAAAAACCTGCTTCTTTGAGGTGCTGTTGTTCCATGAAGAGCTCAGCTAAAAAAGAAAAAAACAAACAAACAAACAACACCCTACCATTAGTTGAAATAAGTCAGAGACTTTTCTTCACATTAATTACATATTATCTCCCTTAAGCATATTAAAATATGAGGCCATGATCCTGCAACAGTGCTTACTATTATGGTTAGTGCTTTGTATCACAAATGGATTCACTGAATATATTTTTTTTTTATTGCTAAGGGCTCTGTAAAGATGTTCATGGACATATTTAGGTGTTGTCCTGACAGAGTACGGCCTTAAGGATTCCTCAATCAGGAATGTAAACAGTGCAGAACTGAGCCCTAAGGAAGCAGGGCTGGTAGCCACTTGGAGCCGTCATATGTATTTCCAAATAATCTGGGGAAAAAAAGAACAAAATAAGCCATCACTGTCTACTGAGAACTTTAAACATGTCAGAGTAATAGGATACATCTGACTGAGCTGGACATTAGATAACTTATTTGAAAGAGTATTTGCATATTTTAAAAGATGATTAGAAGTGTTTCTGCTTGTTTGTCTAGTTTATGAGATAGTCATCCCCTAACTTTTCAGACTATAAAAATCAAAAGGTTTTTATCATAGAGACTTATTTATATTGTGTATTCACACATTTACTTCCCATATATACTCTACAGAAAAACAGAAGAAAGCTCTTGGATGAGACTGCTCAGTCATTTACTTTCTTCAACTACCAGCAACTATCTTAGTGGTTTTCTTAGGAAAAAACCCCAATGTAACAGGCATACTAATGTGCTTGACTGTCAATTTGTTAATCAAATAATTTCTCATGTTAAACACAAATTTTGTAACATATCTCATGGTTAAACTTCAACATTTCTAAGGATTTGGACTAGATCATCATTGGACTAGATGATTGTTGTGTTGGATTAAATGATCATTGTAGATCCCTTCCAACTGAAATAGTCTATTCTAATTCTAGATTTATTATGCATTACATCCTGGCAAAAGGCTTCAAAAATGATACTCAATTTTCACTGCCACACATAACTGAAAAGGGAAACTGTGCTTTTAGAGAGAGATACACATATATATATATATGTATGCACATATGTATACAAAATAATTCTGTCTCTTCATACAGCAGCCATTGCTTTTTGGTCCATAACCTGTTTGTGTTCTACACATTACTACTGCAAAAGCTCAGTCTCTCTTTTTTTAAACTGATGCGGTAATGCAGTAAGTATTGACAGTTGAAGAGTCCAATTCTAAATGACTAATTTAGGCTCCAGATTTAGATAAATAATTCGGAAATGAGACACAACCTTAAATGCCCTGACTTTTAAAGGCAGTGTATATTCTCAGGAAGTCTCTGTGAGGGGGGAAATTAGCCTGAAAATTCTTCTTAAATAGCTTGGAAACTCTGCCAGTTTCAAAACACTGGGAGACCCAGACGACTGTGAGGACTTGGCATGCTGACATGGAGGTTGCTGGGTAGAGGTGAGCAGGACAGCATCTCGACGGCAGTCCTGCCTGACCATGGAAAGGTTCCTCCTTGGCCTCTCTGACATAAGACTGGGACCGTAAGTAGCATTTCTGCTGGCATGCTGAAAATGATAGTGTACTGAAATGACAGCATGGCTGAACACCCTTCCACTTCTGAAGTGGTCCTTCTAGAAAAACAGTGAGACACTGTTGAGAAAATGCTCTAATATTTCTTAGCCATCTCCAGGCTGTGCTACAGATAAGTGTCATCCGCCAAGGCTGTCAACATGAGCAAAACATTAGTTCCTTGGTAAGAGCTATACTCTTAAAGAGTGACTCATATACATTTCTCCCTGGTTAATCATTATAAAATCTCAGCATGCATCCCTTCCTTTGGCTCTAAGAGGCTGCAGCTATCTAAAGTAACAGAAAGCAAGGCCATGTACCTTGTCAAGCTGAGTATGTGTGCAGCCTTATTCAAAAGTTTGTGGGAGGACAGTATTTTACTTGCACTTCCCAAGGAGCAGAGCATTTTCCTGCCAAGTGCTGCACAGCAGCTGACGCCATGCATGTGGCAATAACAAAGATGGGGATGTGCAAAGTGAGGATTCACAGCCTGAAGATAAACACTTCGTTTGCAAAGTTAGCACAAACTTAGTGGCACAAAAGAATGGGTGATATCTTGGCATTGTTTGAAGTCAGCAGAAGTTCTGGATACTGCCATATTAAAAGCTCTACTAGCAACTAACAGCATAATGTGACTTGTTTCATTTCAAGAAAGAATCTGGAGTAAGGGGGTTTAGATGTGAAATCATGCACAGTGTTTCAATGCATGCAAAATGGAGAGTACTTATTCTTTCTTTCAACGGTGCCTGTAAATCTTCTTCAGTAATAACAATTATTTAGAGGAAGTGCAGCAACACAGAATCTAAATAAGATCTGCAATTTGTATTTTATGGTATGGTAATGTAGCATATTAAAGTTCAGTCCATTTCTTTGCAGGCTCAATAGTCAATAAGAAATGATTTAATGGTGTGGGAAGTCTAATTTGCATTAAAAAAGAATGAGAGGTGCGTTTGGGTTACCAAAGGAAAGGAGTGCGCCCACTCAGCTAAAAATAGACATTAAGGGAAATCGTTTAGGCCTGCATTAAAATGTGTTTTCTGTAAACTCATTTTTCACTTCTATTACATACTCATTTTATTTACAGATTAACAAGATACGCTTACACAACATGAAATAAAAACACAGCTAGAGGCAGAAATCAATCCCCAAAAACAAGGACTCATTAAATTTATCATGGTAATATTACTGCGTTCTCAATGGTACTGAAAGTACTGAACCATCTGCCTTTGTGTTACCTGGGTTAACTTCCTGTCCACTGGATTATTCAGCATATCTCCTTCTATCACCTAATCATGCTGTAAATAAACATCTAACCAAATTAGCAACCCTCACAAGGAAGTTCTGTTGTAGATGTGGCGCTCAATTCCACTCCAAAGCAGAGGGTATCTCCTCAGGCTGATGCAAGTACAGAAGATCTGTAATTCTTATCCTGGGAAAGGTTCAATGCTTCAGGAGAAACCATTTATGAACCCCCAATTGCTGGACTACATTGTTCTTGGTACTGACATTCTTCACAGCTTTCAATCTAAAGGCCATGTTTGCAAGCTCCCTTGCTCTCTCTTACTTAACACCATCTTCATAAAAACTTAAAACAAATTTACATTCTGTTTCGAACTAAGTACCACCAAATGCTCTCTGAATGCTACTGAGCAAAGAGAGATGATCATCCGGGATGTACCACCTCCTCTATTAATGTCTCTGGAGTACTGCTAGAACTCTGAGTGGGAATGATTATTAGGAAATATTTCAGCCTTTTTACCTATAGGTATGGGCTGAGACAGTGCACTGCATGGACGGGCAAAGACAGGACGAATCGTGCATTGTCTCCTTTCATTCACTGACTGAAACTTGAGCCTACACTCACTGAGACGACAAGCAGCTACCCAGTTAACTCCAAGGTCCAGCCTAGCATGATTCATTTCTTTCTCATATCCTCCTTATGCTTCCCCATCTGTGCTCCCTTGCAGTATTGTCCAGCCTCCTCTGCTGTTCTTCGAAACAACTGTTGTCTCCTCTTGTGGCTATGGCCTCCTTTGTCATGACTTGCAACTGGACTTCCACTGATACGCCAGTCCTAATGCTGGTGCCCAGTCCCTGAGAGCAGCATGCACCTCCACTCAGATTATCATTAGCTCCTAATATGAGCTCCTAGTTCTTCCACCTGTTTCTGCTAGCATTTACGCTCATCTACAATGAAGATCCTTAATCAAGTGAGAATTGCCAGAAGCATATCATCTACTCGCTCTCCAAAGACCAGTAACAAACACACAGACCAAAAGAGCACTTCCTAGAACACTGACAAAGCCAAGTGTCCTACAGTCAAGCTCCTTTTTTTGTCTCCAAGATAAATTATTTGACAGAGCTCTGTTAGGGAGTCCATCAGAGGAGTAACAACAGTGTAATGTAGTCACATCCGCATCACAGTGCTAGTCTGAGGAACAGAGTTGCTTGCCATCACCTTGAACACTGACCCTATTCCCTGTTCCCTAAATGTTTCAAAGCAGTGCCAAGAGTGATTGTGCTTGTCTCCACAAAACCAGCAACAACTGTAATTCTAGCAAAAAAAAAAAAAATTAAATAGATTTGAAATGTATTTCTGCAACAAGAACAACCTAAGAGTTAAAATTTCATTCCTTGCAAATATGTTTGGTATTATCCAAGACGCAGCACTTAACTCCCAAAGGTAGACTGCTCCACATAACTCAGTGGTGTGTGACCGCCGCATCTAAAGCACTTGTCTACTCTCATCCACACCAAAAATGCTACTGCACAGCGACACTGCTAGCGCAATGCAGCCAGATGCCCAGCAGGATGGTACAGTGGGGAGTAGCCCTTCACACTTTAAGAAGGTGAAAGCACCTGTGAGGATGTGTAGGGAGGCGATTTCTGTTCTACATCATCTGCCTTCAGGAGTTATTAATGCTTGTTACTGCAGCAGGCCTTAGCCAGCTGGAAAGACCCACTCCTCTGAGACAGCTCTGCCTCCAGCAGTGAATACAGAGCTATTACCATGACAAAGGGTTCCCCCACCACCTTTCCTTCCTGGCAGGTGATGATTAGTCATTCCTTCATGTTATGACACCACCCTGCATACAGTAGCTTGACAATTCGCGGGCAGATCAGATGGAAGATTCCTCAAGCCGTATCCTGACTGCAGTAATTTCATTTGATGCAAACCTTCGATACAGAAATAAAGACTAGAAACTGCCAGTTTCCCATCCACAGGAGCTCAGCCACTTGCTCTTTCAAATGAGGCAACAGATTTACATCCTCAAAGGCTGTTCTTGCATGCAAACTGGTAGTTAACTGGAGTCCAGGGACCCATTTTAAATTTCCAAGCTTTGGGTCTCACAGGGGCTGAAATGGCTACTACCTTCTTTATTTACAAATGCAGCATTAGAGTGAAAGCTTCTGGAAGCAACACAGAA